GTTGTACCCGCCCCCCTGCAGGGGCGCCCCGCTGGGTATTGCTATTGTTATTGTTCCTGTGACTTTCACCGTCGTGGTCGGATTTAGGATTATCACAGGTTGAGAATAGCCACTTGGAAAACCAAATCGTTATCCTCTGAAGCCAAAAGATGCTATTAAATCCTTGAATCCCGTTGTTTCACAGCACTAACTTCTCGAGTGCATCCGATAGCTTGTAGAATAAGCTTATTAATATCTGATTTAAAGTATGTCTTATCATATGGAGAGATACCTCTTTGTGAAGATACTGGGTGAGTGAGGATTTGTCACTTCGCAGTTGTTCCAATCACAGCATCATATTTGCTGTCAAACTGGAGACAGGATGCAATTGCCCTCCTAGTTTAAGGAGGACACTAAGCATATAAAAGCTGGACCTGAATCTAAAGTAATTTTGCAGAGATTTTATCAGGAGTAGAGTGTTATACTGTCTCCAGGTAGTAGGGACCTTGGTTTTGTATGCTAATTAATGCTGCATTGCATGTGGTGTGGGAGTGGGTGGTATTAGGTGTCTACAGGTAACACCATTTTGCTATTCCTTGAACAGGATGTTACCCATAAAGGAAGTAACCCGGGAAGTGGAAACAAAGGTTTTCAATAGCTACATACTGGACAAGAGTCAGAAAGACACCTTCTCTTTCTAGAACTACTGACCAAACTAAATCATAGTCCCTTCTGCTTTTCCAGTTTATGCCACTTAAGCTGTTCTGATATTGCTGATGTGAGCTTTTCACGTGGCATGCAGAAGTCGCTGGAGACACCATAGTGGGGATAGAGGATAATGCTAGTAATCACCGTCAGTCATGCAGCCAGTTTCGTCAGTGTTTCAGAAATTAGGAAAGACAGGGAAGTGTTGTGAGGTTGAATAGCAGAGCCTGTAAACTATATTGAAAATGGAAATAGAATGCTATATAAAAATACTTGACCAATTAAGGATAGCTTGGGGTATAATTCGTAATTTTATCCAGGGTTCTGATTTGTCCCATAAACCAGTTGTTCTTTATGGGATCGTTAGAATTTAATTTCCAAAATGTTTTGGAACGTTGTCAGCCTTCTGATACTCATGCTGAAGCTGGAGGAAACATCGCTGTCTTAAACCTAGTTTCTGAAGCAAATGCTTGGCTGTCCCTTCCAGGTCTGCTGGCAACCCTTATACAAGTGGCCAATTTCACTTGGCCTCTGTAGAGAGACAACAGCCTCAGAAACACCTGAGAATATATATATTTCACAAAACAACTACAAGTTTTGTGAAAATAATGGTGTTTTCTCTGGGAGGGCTTTTCAGCACTAACTGTGGACACAAGGGAGTTCACATTGCCAAATGTTATAAGGACTGAAGTAGGTGAAAGCTTCATCCAGAACATGCACTTTCCATAGGTAGGTGAATAATTTTCCAGCCTAAGAACATATATAGGTGTATACTGGGGACATTTTCCTGTGTTACTTTAAGGTATTTTTCACAACACACTGTGAAACTTTTTTTTCCAGTTTTTGTTGTTAGGAAAAAAATAATGGAAGGTCTGGCTACCTTTGGTAAAAAATGGTTTTGTATCTGTTTTTAAAACTTCGTAGGCGTGCACATATTTTTCAAGACAATCCTATCCATTGAATCTGCTTTGGTAGCCTACTTTTATAGCTTTTTTTTGCTTGGTCTTTCTC